CATGGAAGAATCCTCCCCCCCCACTCTGTGGCCTCCCCTCACCACCCTTCAGTTTCTTTCAGCTGACATGGAAATTGAAGAAGAAAGTGTGGAGCCTGGGCTCTCTAGACACATGCACCATCACTAACAGTCAGCAACAAATATGGCGGGCATACAGGGTGGGTGAGACTCTGCAGGTCACCTGTACGTACCAACCCATGGGTTGAAAAACACTGACTTAAAGATTTTAAATGTTTTTCTCCAGAAATATCAAAGATGCTTTGATTTATATGGCATCATCAGTGTATACATTGAAGCAGCAGAAATGATCTGCTCCCGCCCCTACAAGATTACAGTTTCCGTTTCAAACGCAGGGACATGGAAGAAGGTGAATACAAGAGGCACAGTTAACAATTCACTAAGGCCAAGACTGTTTAATAACGGTTATGTTTTGGCCAGGGGATGCTACACAAGGGTTAGAGTGTGGGTTTTAAGAAGGAATCTGAAGCCGGAGAGAGATGGTTCAATGAAGTTATTCAAAGAGGAAGTTCCAGGGGGACAAGAAAGATGGACTGGAGGTCTTTTATTTAAAAGCATGACAAAAATACATTTTCCTGATCGAGAACAGGATAATACTAATGAATGACTGTATTTTGACTAAAGTGCTTCCATAAGATGCCAAACTTTCATCATAAGGGTACAAAATGAACGCAGTGTTCAAAAGCTTATCTATCAGAAGATTACACAAAAAAATGCCCAGCAAGACATATACGCTATCACTATTTTAAATGCTCAAATACACCGCCAACTACTTGCTTCTTTTTTATTTTGAAAGCAAGGTACATGAGTAATTTCTCCCATTTCATTTCCAACTTATCTTCACTAGAAGATGGGGCAGGGGTCATAAAGCATCTAATATTCATACTCCGCTGCTTGTACTTTCCAATGGAAAGTAATATATCCTGCAAAATGTGTTGCAAAAAACATCATACATTCTCTCTTCTCACTGTATGCAGGGTTCAGGCTACAGTTCAAAATATGGTTTGCTGGGGAAGGGAAGGGTGATTCTGCAATCTTTCATTAAATATAATGTTTTTACTTACCAAGAAAGATCCTTAACTATTTTATCCACCCACACCAAACCCACACCAAATTCAGACATGCTAGGAAGCGCACATATATAACTCCAACTGCTCTGTACTGGAGGGCTATCTGAAAGCACTCCAACATTCAGTTCTCATGCCACAATTTCCAGGAATTGGTTTGAATTTCATATACTGGAGTACTACCAGTACCATAAACCTTGGCCAGTCTAGTAGTTTGTAAGTACAGCCACTATCAGACAGCTCTCTTGGGGGTAATGGCCAACAAGACTTGGAAATCTTTATTTCTTTGAATTGCTTCTACCTTCCATCACCATAATGCCATCACAGGTAGATGGAAGGAGGCTCCCTCAGACCATAGGAGAGCAATTAAGCCAAGGGTGTCAAACATACAGTCTGCGAGTTGGAACCAGCCCATACAGGGCTCTTTTCCAGCCCGTGAGCAACTGGTCATTATCTTTATTGCCGGATGACAGAGGCTGTGCATTAGGTCCCTGTACACTGTCCCAGTGCTAATGAGTAATAGGAAGTGGAAGTGAGAGGGTGGGCATCAAGGAGATACTGTAAGGAAATTCTGCAAGAGTGTTAATGTTCTAAGCATGTTTGTATTTTGAGTAAAAAATAATATTGGGTTTGCCTGTGTCCTTTATGAAGTTTGTATCTCCCATACCTGGCATTACATTTTACAGCACTCATGGCCCAGCCCAACAAAGTGACATTTATGTTGGATCCAGCCTTCATAACAAATGAGTTTGACACCTCTGAATTAAGTCAGAAAGGGAAATACATTTCCAAGCCCCAAAGTTCCATGAGAAAACACAGAGGGCAGAAAGAATAGTACTGAATGAGAAGCCATCACAGTCACTAAGTCTGGATGGCAAAAGCATGAAGACTCACACTGTGGTTCAAAGAGGTGTGGCCTTGTCCAGAATGCTGAACAAGCCAAGAACCACTGCTTTAAAAAGTCAAAGGTTTAGGCAACCAAGATTATTGGCTGACACAACACCACAGAGGTACCAACGTGCCCAGGAGTCACAGCCTGGCATCCTTCTCAGTCAGGCAAGTCAGCTAAGAAACAGGTCCATAAGATGCAAGATAACCACAGATCCTGTGCCTGCTACAGATGATGATGAAATATGCTGCTCCCAAGGTGCAGCAATGACTATGCCATGCCTTAGGCAGCTTTGTTTGTTTGCATTGTTTTCCAGTTCAGTTACCCTAGTCCTAAAGCCCTGGTACCCATAGCCCAGGCTGGCCTGATCTTCTTAGATCTTAGAAGCCAAGCAAGGTCAGCCCTGGTTAGTATTTGGATGAGAGACCACTAAGGAAGTGAAGGGTCACAGCACAGAGGCAGGATATGGCAAACCACCTCTGAACTTCTTTCTTCGAAAACCCACCACCAGACCTGTCACACTGTTTACTGGCTAACATTTGCTGTTTTGTCTGTCTTCTGTATTTTTGTAATCTGCCTTCAGGCTCAGCAAGAAAGGCTGGCTATAATAGAAACAGCATAAAATAAACCAAATAAAATGGGGATACTGGGACACCTTCGCTCACCTGCCCTGAAATGGACCTGTGCAGGTGAGTGTTCCCCTGCCTTTGCCACAGCACAACTATCTCCAGCCTGTTCTCCCTGGGCAGCCTCTACCAGCTCCCCCACTGTGACTCACAACCCTTTGGTCCGGCCCTCTTTTCCACAAGGGATTTTCCTGCACGTCATTTTGTTGGGTGGGGGAGTCAAGCTGGAAAGAAAAATCACTCCTGAAAAGCACGCTTGCCTCACTTTCTAAGGCCCTATTTTTGGGTTTGACAAGTCCCTTCCTATTTCCCAAGTAAAAGCCTTTTCAAAATCAGTGCTGTTGCCTGCATCCACGGCATTTGTCTTTCGAATGCAGCACTTGAAACCAAAGTAGGAAGTGGGGAGAATTAACACAGGAAAATTAGGCACCATGATTAGGGAAGCTCTCTCACTTCCAAACCCACTACTACCTATATCTAGACAAGTAATGCAAGCCACTGACTGATGCTAAAGAACATCAAGGTTTGAGGGGTTTTGTTCAGACAAAGGAATTTTAAGTGGTTAAGACACTGAACTGCAGGCTGTGGAAGGTCAGTAGTTCAGTAGTTCAGCAGTTCAAGACCCGAGTGTGCCGCATGACGGAGTGAGCTCCCGTCTCTAGTTCCAGCTCCTGCCAACCTAGCAGTTCGAAAGCAAGAAATTGCAAGTAGATAAATAGGGACCACTTCAGTGGGAAGGTAACAGCGTTCCGGGCGCCTTGGTGTTTAGTCATGCCGGCCACATGACCACGGAAAGGTCTTCGGACAGCGCTGGCTCTTCGGCTTTGAAACGGAGATGAGCACCGCAAACCTAGAGTCGGATCATACTGGCTTTTGAGCAAGGGAACCTTTACCTTTTTAATTCACAAACTCTCCCATGGAAGAGGAGGTATTTAACATATCTAAAGAAACGTCCACATATTTTCCAAAGATCATCAGAAACAAGGTTTGCTTCCCTTTGAAAACCTGAAAAAATCCATTCTCTGTAAGACGAATGCAGGTTTTAGGAACAGGACCCACTTCAGTTGCAGCCAATTCACCACTCGCTGATGTTTCAAAAGGCAGCTGGGCAAAGGGGAGATTGCAGCCACTGTGGTGCCTTAGAGCATCAGTCGGCCTTCTCCCTCCCCCACCCCCCCAATTATGGGGGAAAGTGCAGGGTGTACTTTGACAGCAATTCCACAACACTTACAAAAGGTTATCCTAGTTACTTTGCAAGATGTGGCCTCTTCAATAATAATGGCCATGCAAATTTGATTAAAAAAATAAAAATAAACTAGACCTGCTTTAAAAAATAAAAAGCACCACCCATGGTTTCTGCAGCCACAAAGAGACGACGAAGGGGCAACGCCAAAGACCTTTTCAAACACACCCGAGAACTCCGTTCCCGCATGCAAACTCCATGATTTCTTGTTGAGGTGGTTTTTCGCTTCCCCCGCCCCCCACTTGGGCCTGGACTAACTGGGAAGCCTGGGGCTGGATTTCAAGCCTCAGCTGCAACCACAGCCCAGGGAAACCGAGGAAGGGGGGGGACTCGCGGAGAAGCTGAAGGGAAAGGCTCCCCCTTCCTCTCCCGTTTTCGCAAACAGCCACAGGCTTTCCGCGGCCGTCCCTCGCCGTTGCACAGCAACGCAACAATGACGAGCGACAACTCCGTGCAACAATTGCAACTCCAGGAGCGCCCTCCGAACAGCCCGGCGGCCGCGCTTCGCAACGCCGCTGGACACACAATGACTGGGAGCCCCGCAGGCAGGCAGGGAGGCAGGGAGGAAGGGAGAGGCACGGCTGGCGAGAAAGACCCGAGGCGACCAGGCGCGGGCAGGAGGGGAGCCGCGACGGCCCCTCCCGGCCTCCAAGGCCAGCCACAAAAGAGTTCGGATTAACCCCCC